CCGCAGAGCCGCAGAGCCGCAGACTGCTCGCGTTGCATTATTTCTCGGAGCGGACCGGTACGCGTGCCATGGTGCTGTATATTAGTATATACCACCTCCGCGCGCGTAGTCATGCGACGGCGCCAACATTCCCGTCGTTTAACGACATGCGTGCGTGCGGCCGTAAAACGTCCGGATCAGCGGCGGCGCTTAACATACCTATGGACATGTGGGTTTACACGCTACTAAGAAGTAAGAACGTGGGCACACCGCGCGGATTTAAATTAAACGTATACGTCTGTTCCGTACATGTCTGTACCTGAAGAGAGAGAGAGAGAAAACGCTACTTGCCGCTATTTAAATGAATAGCGTGTGCGCACGTTACGGGCACACGCGGCTGATAAATGCATTCAGGAATGCCGCATAATCAGCCATTAATTCACGCCGGATGGTCGTTAATGCAAATACGATAAGCTCGGCTCTCCTCTCGACGCGCCGCGCGCCACGCCGAGAAGAAGTCGGCACCTTTCCCCGGTCTCGGTAAACATCACGCGCCGTTTGATATTTAAATTTCACGTTTTCCGATTAGAATTTATGATAATCGTATATTAATCGTGGCGCCGCGATGGTCGCAATATCCGCGGCCGCGACATCGTCACTGGGATTCTCGTGATTCTCGTGATTCTCGTCTCGGTCGTGGATATTGATTCGCTCTACGAGATATATCGAAAAACGCGACATACAGTCGAAGAGAGCAAATGAGCTGAGATACCAAGAGATAACCTGCTTGCCTTTCACGCGATTGCGACGGAAGAAATATAACCATTTGATCCTAAAGATCAGGGTGTTTCCCCTCGTATATTGTATTGTGTATATATGTATACCTCGGCGCCGCCGCTACGCTTCCTCGTACGGCTGGTGTAATTTACAAAACACAAGAGAGCTAGACGCACCCTCGGCTAAATTCCGTCCGAGAAACAGAAAAAGAAATTGTTGGAATCATAATAATGACCGAATGTGTGGGACGCGAATAATACTTGCTCGTGTACGTTGCACCTACAACCTACACGGTAATCTGCGCGCTAAACTCTTACGACAAATAAGTATATATGGTATAAGCACGTGCACGGAAATGAGCAAGTTCGCAAACGGGAGGGGGGAGGAGAGTACGTCATCCAGATTCGCGAAGAAATCGAATAAGACGGAAAGAAATATAATGCCCCTCTCTTTCTTTTTCTTTTTTTGGTTTCTTCCAAGATAAAGCGTCGTGCCGCGCCCCGTGTCGACGGTTCGCCTCACGCCTCTACGTGCCGGCCGCGGCGAGAGAAAGACCGAAAGAACGGAAAGGAGATGGGAAGATGAGATCGAGTCCGGAGTCGGTTCAGTCGGTTGGTCGTTCAACCAAGCCAGTTACTACACGCTGCGGTGTCGCACGATCCGGTCAGTTTGGTAAGGAACGTTATAT